ACACTGTCTCCTCTTGGTAACACTGTCTCCTCTTGGTCTTGAACCAGGGATCTTTTAGGTGTTAACCATTACACTGGAGTAGAGAGCAACCTAAAATACTAGCTTTTACCTACTGCTGCTTCTTTTTACATCAACACAGTGGATATCTTTATTTAAATTGACCTGTACCAGATCTCCTTTGGAATTCTGTGCTCTGGCTTCATTTACTCTCTGCAAACAAACATTTCCCTGTAACAGGGATTAAATGAACACAAACACATAGCTGCTGCCATGCTGTTTGGTTTGTGCTGACACATCATCAGTCACCAGAAACCATGTATTGATCTGCATATAAAGTGCACTTAGCAGGAGTGCTGCAGGATTAGAGGGAGGGATGCAGAGGAACATGAAAGGTAGGAATGGAGCAGGAGGAAGAAGATGAGACGTAGGGGCAGAGGGAAACAAAAGGCCTGCATGTAAATTTACAAGCCGTTATTAAGTCATGCGTACCTGAAAGAAAGCTGCTTTGCTGTTTTGAGTGTCCTAGTCACAGGAAACAGTAAAGGCGTAGAGGCAGTAGGATGAAACATTATCAAGAGGAGCAAACAGAAATTTTTCAGCAAATCCAGGGGTGATGTAGAAATAAGGCTAGGCTAAATACAAAACGCTGTCTTTGTGCAAGCATTGTGCAGCAAACATGTCAAAATCCTTAAATAAGCATCAAAGCAGCCAAGATGAGAGTCAGGACATCCAGTCATAAAGTCTGAGCTAAAAAAGAATGCAGGTGTGTGCTGTGCCTTTGAGCCGAAGTGCAAAGTTTATAGAAGCAATCATATGATAACATGAGTCCTGCTAAAACTACTAAACAATGTACATTTAATTCTACACCACAACAGCGGCCACATTTGACATCATTTATCTAAGAGCTACAAATAAACAAACAAATAAATAAATCTAACCACGGGACTATTTTTTATATGTTATTACTGATAATAATATTTAATTATCCCATAAACCTCCTCAGGCACTCTAATATAAGGCTGACACTGCACACTTTGTAAGAGTACTACTTCAAACATAAATAAAAACATAAAAGTACACATAAAACAAATGAACTCATTATAACAAAGCTCACGTTATGGACTCATGAATTCAGTCAGTATGTTCAGGAATTACATTAAATGACGAGCTTTGGCATGAAAGCAGTGCCTCCTGCTGCAGCCATGGCTCACAGGCTACCACATGCTGAGATGGCGACTGGTGGAAGCTTGTCTGTGTAGTGACCAGGAGTCTCCACCTCCAACTCTGCTTTTGCTTTTAATTTCCTGCTACGTCTCTGGGTGCTGAAAGCAGCATTCTGAGGGAAATGCCCACAGGACATTATAACAGATCACCTTCACCTTAGTGGTTGAAACACAAGCACCCACTCCAATCATGATGATAATAAACTCGAAGTAAAATGTGCAACTTTCCCTACAATTTCCACAGAACCTGCTAAGATATAAGCTTTCTTAAAATTAGAACCACTGGCAGCGCAATTTAGACTTGACTAAACAGACGGTCGAATAAAACACCCAGTCTGGATACGTCTAAACAAGAAATTTGGTATTTTTATTATAAACATGTTATATTTGTGTAGGAATCATTTTCAAATCTAATATTCAAATCTTATATCAGATGGATGTGGCCGAAAACACTGCCCTCGCATGTGAGCTACAACATATGATACTCTTCAATATTATTATTTAATAGTAACACTGGTATTATATAATGTTTAACATTATATTTTAATGATAATAATAACAAAAATGTAAAATATTACAGAGTGGTTCGTGACCAGATGTGACATGTTGAAATGTTTGAAGACCGTATGCCAGTTCAGTCCAGCTGTAATTGTCAATATAAATGCAAAGACTCGTCTTCATTTATTTTTAATCCTGTTGATTTTGAAGGAATTAAATTAGGAATAAAACTGATAGTTTTCAAGTAAAAATACATGAAAACCAAAGATTGTTTGACTTGTCATGTGACTCTGCTGCTGCCATCTTGCTGACTGACTATCAGCTTCTATAAAAACACTTGTGTTGGTTTTTGAAAGAAAAACAATAATAAAAATAACAATCAGACAAAATATTTCACTGTTGAGAAGATTTTCTACAATATTTTACCATTATGAGTTTGATATATCACAATGAGTAGTACTTAGTACTTATTTTCGTGCAATGTGATGCTGAGTGACTGTTAAACACTGGCTCTGATAAAGAAGAAATATGAACCAGTGTCTATCACAAGCCTCCCCCAGCAGCCTCCTACTAGATGCACGTATGGTAGAAATGTAAAAATCTGTGATTTAGAGAAACGTTGACCTCGGTGACCTGACGGGTTTGACATTTGAACTTGTCTGAGCCTTTTAGCAGATGCACCTGTGGCATGAATTTCATAATCCTGCAAGTTATTCACAAACTGTCCATGTCGCCCAGCAGGGTGACAACAATATCCCATCGGCCTTTTACGGCGGAGGAGTGAAATGATATTCCAGTCAGCTATGTTAATGCATGTGTTATTACTTTCTGAGTTTTAATGGCACAAATGTGACATCCAGTAATAGCTCATCAAAATACCCTAAATGAGCTTCAAAAACTGTCATGGAAGAAGAGACTAAAAAGGCTAAACTCCTGAAGTAATCCTGTAACAGTCTGCCGTTTGCAGCTCATTCTAAAACACGATGAACCTCTGATTCCTTAATATTCAGTCTTTTGACCATCACACTGTCACCCGTGAGCAGCAGCCAACATTTATGTTTTGTGTGCCACCTCGTCTGTGGCGCTTTTCTGGGATTCTGTTACATCTGACTGATGAAATAAAGAACAACAAAAGTCCCCCGCCCCAAGCAGAGGCTTGGTCTTTTTATAAACTTGGTCTTAAAAATGCTGTATTGGTTGGAGGCGTTTTTCGATGGCTCTAGAGTTAATCTAACATGTTGTCTTTTGATTGTCAGAATATCCAGAGGAAGCGCACACACTGCACTTAAAAGCTTTTGGCTTTGAACCTTGGGTCTGACTCTATTCATATAATACACATTAATCTGACTGACAGAGCATATGAACATTTTTAGCCTAGAAAATCAAGCTCCACTGGATACAGGACAGACAGCGACTGCCCATCTATTCACATGTTCCTACCAAAAACTTCAACCTGTTCCAAGGGTTTTCCAGTATCAGCTCATTGCATCTTAGTACTACTGCAGTCATCAGCAATATGATGGCAACATGTCAGCGACAATTCCCAAAACAAGCAAAACAGATCTGCCAACGCTGGAATAATCTCAGTCCAGGCCAGAAATGCTGCACGCAGACTAAAACTGCACATTAACACGAATGCATATTAATTAAGATGTTGTGTGCAGGTATATCAGACCATCTGTTCCCTTCATCAAGAAAGAAAATACTCTGAGCTCACGCGATCATTCACGTGCAACTTTTTGTAAAGCAACACCTCCTCTCACGTAGACCTCCGGATGACTGACTGATTTCACCGCATGAGCCTTCCACAGAGGGACGTCCAGTCCTGCTGGAATGAAGTGCAGCAGATGTTGCAGGCTTCATGCTGCCAGTCTGCACCGCACTGCGCCCCGCATCCACCCAATACACAACACCAGCGCCGCCGCGCAGACTGCAAGCTGCTCAGCTCCTTTTTATGAACAACGACAGCAGCACCACACACCGTCCTCCACCTCTCATCTGCTTGTCCTGTCTTTCTGTTAGTGCGTTTTCACGCCTCCTCCACCCCTGATCTCCTGACTGTCAGCATGATGCGGACTCCCTGATCAGTGACTTCAATGTGGAGGAGCTGTCATCCCTTAATGCGGTAAACTCCCAGCCCACATCACAACACGCACGCACGCACGCACACTCACAGAGCCGAGCAGAAAGACGCAGTGAACTCTCACTGCAGCGCCGGTGTTTTGCTCCAGAAGCCGCAGAGAGACACTTACAGTACGCAAGAACTGGATTTCATCCTCGCCTTCTCCTCCTTCAGCCATGGTTAGTGTTCACACGGTGAGGCTCGTACAGCGTCTGTGTGCGAGTGTGTGTGTTGTGTGAGCAGAGAAAGGCAACGCATAGATGAACTCCTCTTTCATTGGATGGCTCACGCTCGTCGGGGGCGGAGCTGCACAGGAGCGTGTATGTGTGTAGTGCGCGTGCTCGAACGCTACGTTGGTCGGGTTACTCCCTCTGCTGGCCACTGTGGTCCCTGCCAGCAGAGAGCATTTCCACTAAACCAGGGGTGAGGAACTCCAGGCCTCAATCCTGCAGGTTTTGGATCACACCCTGGGTCAGCAGACCTGAATCAAATGATTCGTTCAGTTCCCGGCCTCTGGAGAACTTCAAGACATGTTGAGGACATAATTTAGCCATTTCAATCAGTTATGCTGGATCAAGGACTAAAACCTGTAGGACACCGGCCCTTGAGCCCTGGAGTTCCTCCACCTGTGGACTAAACAAAGTCACAGTCATCAGTCTGGGTTGTGTATGTTTGTGTATGTAGATTTCAGTTTATCTCATAGTGACAGTAAATGATGACGCTTCAGTCAAAACTGTTATATAATAAGAAAAACTTCAGCGAGCTATGTTCCTACCATCACCTATAGTCACGAGCTGTGGGTAGTGACCGAAAGAACGAGATCGCGGATAAAAACGACAGAAATGAGCTTCCTCCAAGGGTGGTGGCCTCTCCCTTAGAGATAGGGCAGGGACGCCGGAGATCCGGGGTAGAGCCACTGCTCCTCCACATCGAAAGGAGCCAGCTGAGGTGGTTCGGGCATCTGACAAGGATGCCTCCTGGGTGCCTCCTGGGTGCCTCCTGGGTGAGGTGTTCTGGGCATGTCCCACCGGCAGGAATCCCAGGACAGACCCAGGACACGCTGGAGAGATTATATCTCTCGGCTGGCCTGGGAACGCCTTGGTGCTCCTACGAACAACCTGGATGATGTGGCTGGGGAGAGGGAGGTCTGGGCTTCTCTGCTTAGGCTGCCCCCGCGACCCAGAAGAAGATGGATGCATGTTTAAACAGCTTGGCTATATCAATGACTATTTAGTGTCAACTTCTTAACCATCTTTTAAAGTCAAATATGACAAATACAAATTTTGTAAATAAAAAGAATTTGACCTCCTGTATTTCTGCATCATTTAAGTTGACTATAGAATCGAGTAGCCCCTGTTTTCACAAAGAAACTTGAATGGTTTTGTCTTTCCTTCTGGAGGTATGTGGCTGTGGCTTACCTTCCTGCATCTTCATGGTGTTCCTGTTGTCCTCTGGGATACCCAGGTAGCTGTCCTGTATGTCTGCAATTCTGCGTCCTTCAGTCCAGATCACCTTCCCTCTTGTTGCAGCCATTTGGCCACACTTCTCCTGTCAATTACATCCTGAGGTCATTGCTGCAGATGAGTCGATGTTTCGGTCACCCTTAACATACAACCTGACGTCATCCATCCTGGCTCAGGATCACTCCACTCGTGAACCACTTTCAGTGATGTGTCAGCTTAGGGGATTGAGGTGTATGCAGAACAGCAGTGGGAACAGCCCATCACCCTTATATATTCCACACTTCCAGGGTCTGACTGAGTTATTAATGAAGGTAATTAATGTGCCATAAGTCTTGAATTGTACCAAGCAGTTCAGTTCACCAAAAAGTTCAGTTGGTCTTCAGTTAGACAAGCGTGTTCAGGTGTGCTCCAAATGATTGTTACTGGGCGAAAATATTTGCTTTACAGTGAAATTAGTGTTTAAAGTGAAGCTCAGCTTTCTTTGTACGGTTTAAGCTCTAAAAACACTGGAGCCCACATCATCTATGGAGTTGCCTCAGCAGATGATCTGCTTCCATCTTACACTGTCCACATTTTAAATGAAATTATTATTATTGTGCCACATGCATCACTCTGCATGCTGTGTGGACCTGTGAAAGTCAAAGGAACAAGGTGCAGAGGACTCGGTGAGGAGCCACAGAAGAGACCCTGTCTCTGTTAACTGTACTGTCAAGAAACGTCCGAGGCTGCAGCTTGGGAACAACAATTCTACTCTGGAATCACGGGAGGCAGTTGATCTCATTCAGTTCAGTACAATTCAAATCAGTTGTATGTAAACGGGGACAGTTCACAACAACTGTCATCTTGAGGGTGATATAGGGGGAAACTGTACAGGAAAGACCCTATAAAAAGAAGGAACCCATAAAATCAGATTAAAACAATGGGAAGAGTGGGGAGGAAGAACTACCATTTAATGGGAAGAGACCTGTAGCAGAGCAGAGAACAGAGGAAAAGAAACCACAAACAGGACAAACGAAAGCGTCTGAATAGAAATATTAGCTTTTCCTTCTTTCCTGACCGTCTTTGTCACAGTGAAAATTTTAGCATCTTCAATTCTGCCACTTCCAGGTCCACCGTTTCCAAACCACCAATCACAGCAGGTCTCAGTATCATCTTGTAAACTCATCTCCACCCACTTCAACCTACCTGCCCTTTCTTCTTCACTTCTCTTGGTTTGGATGCTTAAGCCCAGGTACGTAAGACTGATCTACGTTCACTGCCTCAACTCTGCATTTCTACCCCCCACACAGACACAGACACACAGACACAGACACACACAGACACACACACACACACACACACACTAGCTTTCATTCCTTTCCCTCCAGGCTCTTGGACACTGCTGCCTAAGCTCATCTGTCATCACTATTGCAACCAGAAAGAAGCTCAGAGCTGATCCCTGATGTGTTCTTCACATTGACCTGCACCACACATCTCACTGTCCTTGTACATCCCCTGTATCATCCTCAAATACTTCTCCACACCTCCCGACTTTCTCAGTTCCCCTCTTGGCAGCCTATCACATGCCTTCTCTAGACAAAGACTCAGTGTAACTCCTTTTGTTCTTCTCTGCATTTCCTCTCTCAACACCCTCAAAGAGAATACTGCATCTGTAGTATTCCTACAGCCCCTGACAAGGACCAGCTAAAGATGCCATCTGTAGTAGTCCTCGGCATGAAGTCATTCTGGTCCCGACCAATCATCTCACCTCTCTTCTTATCCCAACTTTCAGGTTTGTGTTATGGGCATCGTCCATGTCAAAGACAGCTTCTGTTTTCACAGATGGACTTTTTGCTTCTACAAAAAGATGAATCTGAAAGTTAAACTCAGAAAAAAGACAGAGCCAACTTTAAGCTTAAGACTGGTTTATTTTTAATTATCAGAAATCCACAGTCTTCTATGTAAAAATAAAGGGGACTGAGAAGGTATCAAAGTTCCATAAAACGTTGAACAGACACTGCAGCATTAAGATTTGTAAAGAGCACTTAACCAGCAAATCTTTCAACCGTCGAATCTCCTGATTTGACATCTGAACATGGCTGCACCCCGAGCGGTTTAAGATCAGCACTGGCTGCCATCATAATGACACTGAAAAAATATCCAGAAACCTTTTTTCATGGTTTATGTCAGAAAATGTTCTTAACAACAATGCTGTCACATTTGTCCTTTAGTCTGCCAAGTATCTATAACTGATCCATAAACTACATTTACTTTGATAAAATGTTTAGAAAACCAACTACACAGAAATCACAATGTAAACAGTAGTGATCACAACCCTTGTGCTGAAATATTACAATAGTCTGACTAAAGCAACTAGCACCAAAATTATTTGGCAGAAACAGCATTATAACCTGACATAATCCGTCTTCTTTCCCTAAATGTGCAGACGAAGAACAGTTTGAAATGTTTTATGTATATGTTGTTTTTAAACTTGCACATTTCAGTTTCCATATAAGATGCTGCTAAAGTTTTAGAAATAAAATGACCAACGTGAAATTAAAAGTTGAACACATTCTGTGTTTGTCTACAAATCTTCTCTTTACAAATAAAAAGCTAAAGTAAAATCAGTTGGTATTAACGAGCCCTCGTGAGTATCACTGGTTTGATTCGATCTCTTCTGTGCTTCACTTCTTCTCAGTGATCTTTGTTTGAGGGCATGTGTAAATGGTCTTCTCCAACAAGTATTAACCTTTAATTGCACATTTGGAAATCGGCCATTGAATGTGCAGCAACAGCAGTTTTAATTAAGCACTTTGCTTTTTCAATTTTTTTTAAAGAAAATACCACTATGTGCATCTGTGCAGTACCCGACAGACGGATGAACTGTCAACAACTGGCATGAAATGTTTTCCTGTAGTGTTTATTGTAATAGAAAAGTCTGAGGCCCTGTCTTTGTACAGGGATGTCAGTGAGAGGGAGTGACAGCAGTTACAGCAACAACTCATGGGAGCCAAAGTGGAATGGTTGGACTGTAAACTGGATCCTCTGTTGCAGCTTACACTTCATTGTCATAACCCAGGATGGGAGCGAGCCATCTCTCCACCTCCTCCACATTCATCTCTTTCCTGCTGGCATAGTCCTCCACCTACAGATGAGATGTGCACAGAGGCCACACGTTTAGCTCTTGTTTGGGAAGAGACCCGCAGCATATCAACTAAGTTTGGCCGGTGTATGAGCAGAAAGATTCAGGCAGAAATGGAGCGCATAGAGAGACCAGGACGTGGACAAAACAGAAAGCAGCACAGGAACTGGTTTAAGACCTTAAGAAATCATGACCTGCAGATATTAGATTAAAAACAGTCTGTTAAATGAAACTATAGTTGACACATTCTCGTAGTAAACATGTTCAACACTGATGTACAGTGAGGCACATTATCAATGGATACCTGCTCCTTGGTGATCTTTCCAACAGCAAAGTATGAAGCCTGAGGGTTGGAGAAGTAAAGTCCCGACACAGAGGCGGCAGGTGTCATGGCCAGGGACTCTGTCAGACCAATGCCTACAATCACACACAAATGCACAAGTAAACACAAAAAGAAAACAAACACCCACACAACCCTACGCACACATGGAAAAAGTATAGTAAATAAAATGTCCATGAGACAGACAGCAGATCAGTGTGTTGCATAAAAAACTACACCTAGCGTGGTTAGCCTCTCAACTGACATTTACGGGGTGGTTTTTAAGCCGTTGCGTGCACTACATCTGAGGAGATCATTACCTGCTCAGCCTACCTGTGCTCTGTTCTGTCTGGCACCCTGTGCAGATGCAACACCTGGTCTCAAGCACACAGGTATATAAAAGCACCTGTATGCTTTTTGCATGAGTGTGACTTTTCCTCTAAAAGGTGATTTGAAGCACATGAATGCACAATATCAACATACTTAAATAGGTGTAGAGAGTCACCTGAGTCCATGTCCTGGTTTAGTTATAAAAACTGCAGCTGGAGTTTGGAGGCTGTGAAACTAAACCCCTGATTGTGGATTATATGCAGTAATGTGATTTGATCAAATGTTCAAGATACAAATGTGAATACAGAAAGATATTTATGCATATCTGATTATTTTGGCCAGAGGGGCCGATGGCGTGATATGGCAGCCTGGCTTCTGTCAGTCTGCCCCAGGGCAGCTGTGGCTACAACCCTAGCTGCCTCCACCAGTGTGTGAATGTGAGAGTGAATGAATAGTGGCATTGTAAACGCTTTGGGTGCCTTGAAAAGCGCTATATAAATCCAATCCATTATTATTATTATTATTATTATTATTTTCATAGGCTATGAACATTTGCACACAGGCAGAAAACTGGAAGATTTCATTTGAAATTTGTACTGAATAAAATGAATATCTGAGGTTCATCCAGACCAGGGCTGCCCAATCCCAGTCCTCAAGAGCTACTGTCCTGCAGCTTTTAGATGCATCCTTGTTCCCACACACCCGAATCAAATGAATGGCTTGTTATCAGGCCTTTGCCAAACACGATGGCATGCTGAAGAGGTAATCACACCATTTGATTCAGCTGTGTTGGAGTAGGGATGCATCTAAAAGCTGCAGGATAGTAGCTCTCGAGGACTGGGATTGGGCAGCCCTGATCCAGACTGTTCCACACTCCTCAAAGGTTCCGGTTCATGCTGACATCACAGCATCACGCAGCTGCTGCAGAATTTCACTTCACAAACCAGTAATTCAGATTATTTACTGCAATACTTTGTCGTCAAAAATACTTACGGAAGTTAAAGACGTCTGTCTAAGCTAATCCAACCCACTCATCTGTTCAGCATAACGTTTGTACTTAAGCAACAATGGATCCGTTTCAGGGAGTCAGATATGATGTGGTTTTGGTGTTCTCACCAGTCTTCTCCTGGATATTAGCCAGGCTCCACATCATAGTCTTCTCTGTGTGGTCGGGCTGGCTGGGGTAGCCAGCTGCCGGTCTGATTCCTTTGTACCGAACTCTGTGGAGATCCAAGGTATGCAGAGCCTCATCTGTGCTGTAGCCCCACAGCTCCTTACGCACACGAGCATGGAGCTCTTCAGCAAATGCCTTCATGGTGGACAGATGGACAAAGAAGAAACGAGTGAATGGAAACAATGCCTCTAAATGGGTGTTTATAACCTGGACACACTGTTCCCATATTGTATCCAGCTGCCTCTGGATACTGGAGACATCAAAGGACTATATGCCCGCAAGCACAGATTAAAAAGTAGGGTGTCAGCATATACAGAAGTTCCCTTCCCTAAACGAAACTGTAGACTCTCATACTCCATTGTTCATCAGACTTTAGCAATCCCAGCTGAGATCAGAGCAGTATAATGTAGATGAGCGCTAGTAGTCAATGCAATGGCTGAGAGCTGAAACCAAGCACCTCTAACATGAAACGCCTGCACCCCCTGCAGCTAATGGCTATGACTTAAAATTGCAAGCCATGAATTTGAAACAAAAAGAAGAAAGGATTTTTAAATGGTAACCAGCTGTTACTTGCAAGTAACCCTAGAGTTACCGTGCCAACACTGGCGCTTGTACTGTGGTATAATTACCAAGGAGGAAGGAAGTTTTTAATGTTTTACAGGAAACAGTACCTCAGCTAGTCGATCGGCCAGAGCTTTCACCATGATGCTATTATAGTCGTCTCCCTGAGCTTGAAACTGCTGACTCAGTTCTTCAGCTCCAAACACACCCACAGCAAACAATCCAATGTAGTCTGCCACACCGCTGTCTACAGGGGCCACAAAGTCAGACACACACAGGTACGGCTCGGAGGAGGAGCCATCCTTCTCCACCTGCAGCACAAACACACAACACTGTTGAAAGAGCGCTGACAGAAAGGAGACGTTATGTGTTTAAAAATGAACATATTACAATACTTAGATTATACAGGACAAGATGTTAAAGTCTGTCGCAGCACGATAAAGCACAATCCCTCACCTGCTGCCGTAAGCCGTGGAACGTGGCGATGGGTTCTGTGTCCCCGTCCACTGCAGCGTCATCTTTGTACACCCTGATGTCGTCGCCGTTACTCTGGGCGCGCCAGAATCCCACCAGGCCCCGCCCCTTCAGTCTGCAGTCATCAATCATGTGGTGGATCAGCTGCTGGGCATCATCAAAGAGTTTGCGAGCTTCTGAACCTGCAGTAGCCAAAGATCACGAGTTCAGTGGCTTTCCCTGAATTCTTCCACTGTGTGCTCTTCTTGAAGCTTCATACTTTTATTCTAGTTTTCAAGACATGTTTGTGATGAGGCTTCTGTGACAGGTTTCCACTGGATTTCTCAAGGACATCATTTTCTGATACTGCTCATTTGCTGTCGACGTTTTTCTTTCCACTTGTCCAGTTTCCTTACATTTTTGAGGAAGCGCCGCACGACATCCCAAGTTTTTAGTTAATAGCTCTTTGGAAATGGCCCTGTTGCTGTAAGAACACCATTTCCTGCCTGTCAAGCTGTGTTATCTTTGCCGTGTGTTTTTACAAGAGGCTGCTGGTAGCACAGCGGCCAAGTTACAAATCAGGTACAAGAACTGGGCCCAAAACGAGTGGAAAGGGGCTGTACGAAGAAAACTCCTGAAAGACCTTCAGAAAGCCTTAAGAACACTGGGAAGCAAAATGTAATCAAATAACAAGACTTATTTATGGCTTAGTTTGTGTGGTCTGATTCATTAATCAGTAAAATGTGACTTTTTCCCTCTCCTGCACTCCACTTGTATCCATTTATAATTGAATTTTAACCATTTCCTACAGTACAGGTGCAGGACATATTTATATATTTCTAAATAACCCTGACTGAGCTTGTACCAACGGTCTTGTCATTGAAGATCTTCGGGTATCCCCTGTTGGGGTATTTTCCTCTCAGCTGCCACACATCAAAGAACGGCTTCCAGTCGATGAAGTCCAGCAGGCTGTTCAGATCGTACAAGTCAAACACACGAGTGCCCAGGAACTGAGGACAAACTGAAACACAGAGAAGTCTGCTCACAGTTCTGTATGTGCTTGTTTCAGCACCTGAAACCAAGGACAACGAGGGCTGCAACCATTCATAGAGGAATTCAAATAATTAGATCATTTAAAAACAATTCTCAACACAAAGTCTGTGCTTCGAGGCTCTGCAGTGCGCAGAAGTTTAAACAGTGTAAATGTGACCCTTTCACCCACATCTGCAATACAAACGTATTTAGGAGCAGTGCACGAGTAAAAGGTCAGAGTCTGCTCACACGCCACGAAGAGCAAAGAGGCGGAGCCGTTACCGAGGTGTCCTAAACAGCAGCGCTGTTCCTGTGATTATCATTAAAGACTAGCAGGCGTCCTTCATCGAAGCACCTGATCAACGAACTCTGTAGCTGCTCCATCCACTGCTCTTGATTTTACACAATCTGCAGTGAGCTGCAGTGCAGTCCAGAAGAAACTCTGAAACACCCGCATTTTCATATATTTATTATAGCTCACTAACAAGACAAAAGTATTTCTCAACGATTACTCGATTAATCGATGCAATTATTTACAGATTATTCGACAGCTGCAACATTTCAAACTTCATCAAATATTTTAGCACCTAATTACAATCTGACACATTAGGTAACAACTACTACTGGTCATTGCTTGACTTGCCTGGCTGGGGCAGCGAGTGCCAGTCTACCTTTAATGCCTTCTCTCTCGCCTGGGACAGAGACAGGTAACAGCGATCCTGAACACACAGGGAGACAGTTGATTATGTCACAAGTATAACTCAGTGTCATCTACATATTTATTCACGTGTGCCACGAACAGTCAAGTATGTGATTTCATTAACAGCAGCTCCGCTGTACAATGGTAAAGGGTGGAGAAACCACCGTTTGGTCACAGGAAATGTTCCATGTTTGGTTTCTTTTTCTCTACTGGCTGCTTTTACCTTCAGGGAATCATAGTGCTCTTGTCTGATCTCCTCATACTCCTCTTTCAGCTCCTCGAAGTACTCTTCCTTTGCCGTTTCATCCAGCAGCTGTGAACACTGAGGCAGCCCGGGGAAAACGTGAAGTCAACACCACATTTTGTACTCCTTAAACAATGTGTAACCACACAAAGCCTGTGTGCTGGAAAAACAGATTTACATCCTGTACGGTTTAAAACTGAACCACACAGGACTTTTAGACAATTTGGAAGATTTTGCTTGATTGGTGCAAAAAGTTGAGCTTCTCCCCTCAAAGCAGTTTTAGCTATAACATGGACCATTTTATTTAGATTCATTTGAGGCTAGTACTGTCATTTCAAGTCAAATGTGTATAGAAACGTTCCCAATTTTAATGTTCTTTTTTGCCATCCATCGTTCTTGATCATGGAAAAGTTGGAGTCAAGGCAGGCAGATGTTCTTACCACCACCACACTCCTGGAAGCATCCAGAACATGGATAACAGGGCAGCTGTAGCGAGGGGCAATCTTCACTGCTGTGTGTACCCTACCAACACAAAGTACAGGTTAGTCAGCCTCCAGTGGCTAGAAGATGAACTGCATCAGTGAGTCGATCCCAGTGGATACAACAAAAGAAGCTGTTTTCTGTCTGGATCGAAAAACAAAAGAGAACAACTGTTTCGGCCTCTGTGGACAGTTTCCAATGTTGTGACACCTCTGAAGTTACATTTGAACTAAATTATCTACATACTTGAGAATGGAGCTGGGCTACTTTAGGAAATTATAGTATATTACTCACTGCAAAGCCTACAGTGATTCTGTGCTTCACGTGTTCCACATTTTGTCATTTCTTCCAAAGTAGATTCATTTTTTACGTCCCCTTGGCTGAGTGTGAGGGTCATTGTCCCGTTGGAGCCTTCACCCCAGTCCCAGGTCCAGAGCTCTCTGGAGCAGGTTATCATGAAGGATATCTTCCTCTTGACCCTGACTAGTTCCTGCTGCCAAAAAACATCCCCACAGCATAATGCTACCACCACCATGCTTCGCTGTAGGGATGCTACTGGCCAGGTGAAGAGCAGTGCCTGGTTTCCTCCAGACACGAAGCCAAAGAGCTCAACCGTTCTCTCATCAGTTCAGAGAACTTTCTCGTGGTTTCTTTGATGTGCTGTACCTTTAACTTCTCCACAAAGTAATGCTGGATTTTTCCGATTGCTCAGATTGGTCAGGTCAGCTCTAAGAAGAGCCCCGATGGCTCCAAACGTCTCCCATTTACAGATGACGGCGTCCACTGAGCTCACTGAACTCTTCAATGCTGCAGAAATGCTTCTGTATCTTGACCCAACTCTGTCTTGGAGGTCTATAGACAATTCCTTACAATTCCTTGGACTTCATGGCTTGGTTTGTGGGCAAACGCTGGCAACTATAATTCTCATTATGGGATATCGTCCACAGAATTGTTAAAAATTCATTTAATCAAATTTTCTTTCTTTTTTCCCCCTAAATGAAAGTCTGTATATTGTTCACATGATCAAAATAAATTGAACACAAACGTAAAAAAAATCAGGCTGTAACAGGACAAAATGTGGAACAACTGAAGCCCTGTGAATACTTTCTGTCAGGCCTGCAAGGCTTTTGCAAATTCTTCCTTCCGTTTTCATTGGGGACTCTAAATTCGCCCCGAGACAAAATATGTGGGCGACTGTTAGCGCATCTCCTACACGTAACCTTTGACTTGAACTTTTCTACCAGATTTGGTTTAAATCTGGTAGAAAAGTTCATTGTATCCAGTTCAGAATTGGAGCTTTGTGATTGTAGGTATGCAATACTTTGATGTGGTGGCTCCTCCAATCAGCAGTGGTGTGGTCATTCCCAGTCTCTCCATCTCTTTGGCCACATAGATCATCTCATCCAGAGAAGGGGTGATAAGACCAGACAGACCAATGACATCTGAGGTACCAAAGCAAGTACACAAATGCTGTTACAAACTAATAAGTCTTAATCCTGCAACAATACTTTGAGCTTTTGCTTAAAAGGGTCTTATTGAAAAATGCAGGCTAAAATGACAACACACACAAGTGTTTAGGATGCAATCAACTCGGGAAATTCTTTAAATGTATATATTATTTTCTTCATCTATGCATAGAAAGAAAATGAAAACCTGTGAAAACCTGCTAGAGAGAAACGTCTAAATAACAACACAGCTGTGCTCAGCTGTGCTCACACACTAGTGATTAACAGGATCAACCAGTTATCTTCTAACCTTTCACTACCCAAGGCTGCTATTGTTTACAGTCATATCATGATTAGAAGTTGTCCTGCTTTTTGATAAGTTAGTACACAAAAGCAACAAAGTATCCCATCATCATGCAAGATTACAGACTGGTCACTGCTCTATCGTTAGGACAATAATCTGACAGGAGCATTATATATGAATGCTTATAGAACAATTAAACTGCTTCGGGACTCTCAGACTCTGTGTTTCTTACTGATACTTACCATGGAAACACTCAACTGGCTTCCAAATTTAGGGACCAACAGTTATATATCACACAAGTCAGAATAAATCCTGTAAACTTCTCCTTGACACATCATGATATACCCACGAGCAGCTCCACCTCACAGGCTGAGTAACTTTCATTCTGCCTAAAAGGCAAAAACTAGGCTAAAGATATCCAGCTACTGCTTACATGCCAGCAACGTCCAGTAACGAATGAAGGCCGCTTGGATGAACATTTTAACATTATTAAATAAACCTCTGTGAAATGAAACTTTCCATAACGTCAGTCTGATCTTTACAGTTACCTGCTTTCTGTGTAACGGCCTCTCTGAGGATCTGATCACATGGAACCATTACACCCAGGTCGATCACTCTGCACGAGAACAGCAGAAGCAGCAGGAGAATCAGTTTGGTCTGTTTCAGCTGCATACAGGAAGCATGTGAATATAATGCATATGCAGTACTGACGATGGATGAAGGATAAGAAACTATGAAAGAACCCAGGACAGCTTAGTGGAGATGTTTATCGTGATGTGTGTAGTTATGGATTAACCAGTTGGCCCGGGCTAGCAGTCATCAATTAGAATTTAAGACAAAGATGGTCATTACTACCAGTGGAAACCCACCACCATGGTACTCCAGCATACACAGTCCATGTCTTATTTTGTCTTTATGGGAACTATTGTATTTTCCTAATATTCTCTGAGAATGTAAAAATTATTACACAACTGCAGAAATTCTTATTTAAGAGTGCAAAAATAAATGAAATGAAAATAAATTCACAGTGAAGGATTGTTCATGTCGCTCAGCATGTAAGTGCAGCAGCACACACGCACTGAACTACAGCTGTTAAAGAGCAGTGACATTTGGATGCTTTCTACTGCTCTCCCACAATGCAACACTAGTCCCTGTGGAGGATCAAAAGGCAATGTGAGGTGCGTTAAATCACTTGACCTAGTGAGTGCACTGCTGACAGTACCACTGAGCTTAACATGTTGCCTCAGAGGACTGCAGTCTGTAAACAGAGGGATCACCCAGTTAGTGGAATATTAATGTTAATCCCCCCAAGGCTGAAAGATGACACTTTATTATAGTCTTGATGCATAATTTCAAATCCAATCGGCTGGTTAAAGCAAGTACAAGTTCAGTCAGCTGCAGCCACTTAAGTGCTGCAAGTACACAGATTACAATGTAAATGTGTTTACGCTCAGCAGCAAACTACCGTTACCTGAAGTTGTTGCAACCCAGCACTACGCCTACAATGTTTTTGCCAATATCGTGGACATCCCCCTTCACTGTAGCCAGAACTATGGTGCCTTGGTAGGGATCCTGCAGACAAAGAGAAAACAATGAGGGGAGGCCCACGGCAAACCTGACCACTCTGAGTGACATGGCTTATTCCCTCCAGCTTTTGAAAACATTTGTAGAAACATTACATTTTGAGGCGTTATTATCATTTATCAGTTATTCCAGTATTTGCTTGCTTTATCTTATTATTGTGGAACTCATATTCATGTAAGCTGTGAAAGTGCTGTACAGATTCTGCACACACAAAGCTTTTGGAAAAGAAAACAGTCAAAAACAAGAAGTGCTCTGAAGCCTCCTCTAAATGCACTGACCGTCTCATCACAGGATCCAGATGCAGCCATGAGCTCCTGCCTCTCCTTCTCCATGAAAGGAATCAAATAACTAACCGCCTTTTTCATAACACGAGCCGACTTGATGACCTGCAGACACATGACTGCTGACTCAGACATCTTTGCACATATAGGAAGAAACAGTCAAACGATGAATGTGTTTTGGTGAAGGATAAAAACCTCCTGGGGAAAGGTTCATACAAAGGTTCACTGAGATAAACTGAAGTCCTTCGAAGACACAAGTAAACTGCATTCACTACAACGAAGTTCCCAATCCTGTTAAGTGTGGAAGCCGCACACAAGGTCAATAGAATCAGTGTAATCTTCTTAAACTGCTTATGTAATAATTATTTAATAATAACTATTTGATTGAAGTGAAGACCTTCTGGTTTCATTTTTAGTTTAAATTTTAATCTCTGGTTTAATAAGTTACTGCAACTGTCTGGGAGTGCGTCTCCATCCACAAATCCCCAGTGCCTCAGTGCAGCTGGCCCCTACAACACCAACAGCACAACAAAAACTCCAGTAAAGGAAGTGGGCTCTGTGCTTATGTACTCCAGGACTGCTGCTGTAACAGGAGGATTATCGACTCACCGGAGTTAGAGGCGATGGCCCTTTAGTGCAGCCATCGCTTACATCTCCCACGATGCTAACAGGACACTGGACCATGCACAATAATATCAAGCAGGCCTACTAAGCAAAATGACCGTACTCTAATCCACCCACCCAACATTATTGTCAAATATGCCGATGACACCACTGTGGGTGGGCTAATCTCTGATGGAGATGAGAGTGTACAGGACAGAGGCAGTGAATTTGTCCCGCCGATGCTCAGAAAGCAACCTGAAAAAACAACCTGAAACTGAGCGTCCTTCAAATAAACGAACTCGTCATGGGCTTCAGGAGACACAGACAGCTCCACTGCCGTCTCATCATAAATGGAGAACGGGTGGAATCTGTCTCCACCTTCGGGTTTCTGGGCACCTACATCTCCGTCGGCCTCACCTAGACAACACCACTGCTGCATTTCCTCCGTGTCCTGAGGAAGAATAACTTGGATCAGAAGTTCTTGCAGCCCTCAGTGGAGAGCGTGCTCTCCGACTGCCACAACTGGGAACAGGAAGTAAGTAACACCGTCCAAAAAAATCATTGGCTGCCCTCTGCAGTCCTTGTAAGCCATCCCCGGATCCTTCTGTCTGAGGAAAACCAGGGTCATTACAGGTGACCCCTAGAAGCCCACCCACCCGCTGCCCTCTGGATGGCACCTCAGGTCAGTCAGGACTCACAAACAGCTTCTTCCTCTGGGACATTTGGACTGTTAACAAACACTAAAAGAAAATATTCATATTTCATCCCTGCACAGTTCGTGTGGAGCACCCACAATTTCACTGTACATGCACAATGACAATAAAGGCCTATTCTATTCTATTCTATTCTATTCTATTCTATTCTATTCTCATTCAAAGGAAAAGGGGATTTGGTGATGAACTGAGTTTCTTTATTAGCCATAATGACTTCTTTAGACAGTTTTATCGGATTTACTGAAATAAACTTGGGGATCTGTCAGGATATTTGACTAAAACTAAAACTGGTCATTTTATTTGAGACAAAGCAAAGCTAAAGTTGTTCCCACACTGTGCCACAGTGTTCACCATGAAATTTGACCATAATCAGCTGCCAGACCACATGCACTCAAAGTCATCATCGTACCTGTGGCAGGAACATCTTTCCAGCTCCAAACAAGTCTCCCACCGCCTTCATGCCGTTCATCAGGGGTCCCTCGATGATACGAAGGGGTCGAGTGTAGCGGTGAACCTGAGCCCGACACTCTTCAACATCCTCCACCACATACTTCTCTATTCCCTAACAGCATCAATACAAGACGGACCATTAATAACATCTGGTGTTAGGAACATTTTCAAAACAAAGTCAATATATATAAATTTCATATGTGGAATTTGAGGCAATGTTTGAACATGAATACTTCCCAAACTATTAAAGATAAAATCCAGACATTTTCACTCTCCCTCCTTAGAGTAAAGTAAATTAGGATGTGATCATTAGAACAGATACGTCTAAACCATCTGCCACGCCTTTCAAGTTCCAAAACAAAAAATACTCCAAAAAAGGGCGTGGGCGGCAAAGGGTGGTTTGTTTCAGAACGCACTTCCGACTTGATTCTTTGAAAAATAAATGCTGTTTACTTCATGGCAAAATAAAACCCAAAAAGCAACCCAATCATTTCTTACAACTTAGATGTAAATGAAACTTAATCCAACTCCACAAGTTCATCAAGTGTCAGTGTCCCACCCGACCACCAACCCCCCCCCAAACCTTTCCAGCACACCCCACAGCGTGCCCTTAATCTCTAAATTAATGGCAGGTTCCAAACGTTACCAAACGTATCACGACGTCTTCAGTCTCAGCTGCTTTCCCCAACCCCGAGGTACATTTGGATAACGACTGAAACCAGCACTGGTGAATAAATGGGTGTGAGGTCAGTTCTTTGGATCATAATTATGCAACTTGTCACGACTATTGAAAAACAATTAACCGTTCACCTCACGAGGATCCGACAGAGACTGACAATGCTTCTACATACTCTTCACAAGGTGTTTGAATTAGGGCTGGGTATCGTCACGGATTTCTACAATCGATTCGACTTGAATCAGGGAAATTTTGCCTCAGACAGTCAGAAAAATTATGCATCTCATCATTTAACAGTACATATCCATATTTTTCTATCTATCAAAAGAAAGCTGACACTGTGAGACTTCATCAGAGCTGTGAGCATCACAGCAGAGGCCTTTGTGTCAAAGTGACTGAGGATCAAACAGAAAAACATGAAGCAGATTTTCCTGGCCTGGTTTTTTATAACTGCTTTAAAATATTCTGCAGTAGCTAAAAAAACCATGAATCAGCATATGAACATAACCTGATGCTGCTGAAGTGAAGCAGAGCAAAGTTACAGAGGTTTGATTACAGACACAGCTGAGAGTCTCTGGCATCATTTTAAAGTTTACATTTCTTCAGTATTGAACAGCAGAAATGAGGCTTTCTTGGTCTTTTTCAGGGACGACAACAGTTGTTCTGGAGCAGTGGAGGTTGATCAAGCCTTGAAAGCCGCTGCTACTAATTCCAGGCTAACAACAGGTCCCACAACTCAAGCACAAAGTGCTTGAGTTGTGGGACTTTTTGTATACATTTCTCCTGTTTGTTATTTATTACCATTTATATTTTATTCCTGCACAGCTGGTGTGGAGCTCTGTAATTTTGTTGTACATGTACAATTACAATAAAAGGCCTGTTCTCTTTCATCCTAGGCACACAGCTCTACCTACTCTGACAATTCTCTCACAACTAAAACCGTATTTTATTGTTTAACAGAAACATCCGATTACCTTACCTTTATCAGAGCGTACTCCAGCCGCTCCTCTACACTTCCTTCCCTCCACTCGTCTGTCCGAATGATCTGCTTCCCTCCTTTGGTGTTGTTCTGTTAACAAACATCTGTCAAGCAAAGCAACAACAGCTTGGTGCTGCGTGACATGCGTGTGTGTACCTGTGCGTAGGCCAGCAGCTTCTCCGTAGCATCGCCATCTCTGTTCCAGATGAGGTTCTCACACAGTGTCAGCAGTTCCTTGTCGATGTCGTCATAAACGGGCAGGTTCCCTGCATTCACTATTCCCATATCCATACCGTTCTGTCGCGGCACAGCGGATAGCAACATAAAGCTAACGCAGACAAACTTCTTATTTCTAATAAGAAATGTGTAGCTCCTTACATTTGGAGGCAAATTTCATTGAACTAAAGATCATTTGTTGTCACAGAGTTCCAACAAGCACACTGCAAGTCTTTGTGAGAGCGTTCTGAATCTTCACATGCAGTTTCACTCTTTCTTTCTGTTTACGCTCACTACATCGAATAATAACAAAACACAAAAATGAAGGCCCGCACTACAACCGCCCAGCTTCATGTTTACCTTGATAGCACGGTACAGAAACACCCCGTGCATAGCTTCTCTGATCACCTCCATTCCTCGGAAAGAGAAGGACAGGTTGGACAGACCTCCGCTCACCCTGGCTCTTGGCAATGTTTCCTAAACATCAACGCCGATGCAAAAACACATCACGGTTACACCAACCAGAATCAAAGGTTTGTGTTGTGATTAATGTGGATCTACAGACCTGATGGACTATTGAATAAAACTTCAAACAGCTGATTAGACTAGTTTAAGCACAGTTTCTAGCCTGTACAGTAAATATCACTTAATGAGAATTAATGCTGTTGTCCTTATACTTGAATGACCTTAAGGCATGTTCTAGCCCTGAAATCTACTAGTTATATGATGCACCCTAGGTTAGTTAGAAACACCAAACTACAGGAAGATAAAGGATGAGGTTTGTAAGTAATGTGGCTGCTAAAGCACAGATGCAAACTTTGAGGGATGAGATGAAGTTGTGTTGAGTCTCTACCTTAATAAGTTTAGTGGCCGCGATGAAGCTGATTGCATACTCGTTGTGTTCCTCCATGCCTGTACCAATGGTCAGGATGTTGGGGTCAAAGATGATGTTGTTTGGGTCGAATCCCACTTTGTTGACCAACAGCTTGTAGGCACGAGTGCAAATCTCCACTTTGCGCTCCGTATCTGTGGCCTGCAGAGGACAGCACGCTTATCAGCAAGTTCATGTGTGTCTGTCTGTGTGTCCACATGAGCGAAGGCATGTGCAAACCTGCCCCTCCTCATCAAAAGCCATGACCACCACAGCAGCTCCGTAACGCTTCACAGTGGCAGCTCGGAGCAGAAACTCCTGCTCGCCCTCCTTCAGACTGATGCTGTTCACGATGCACTTCCCCTGGCAGCATTTCAGCCCAGCCTCAATCACTGAGAAGTTAGAGGAGTCGATACAGAGAGGAACCTGAGGAAGGGAAGAAGAGCTGAAGGGAAACAAAAACAGCCTGCAGTGTGTACATCATCATGTCCACTGATGCACTGATCAGGTATCGCTGACAACAGACAATCACGTCTTTACTACACTATTCAGTCGCAGCTTTGCTGCTCGCTGCCTCCATGCTCTGCTGCTAACAGCAAAGTGTCAGCGATACAGTCAACAGTATTTCATGCCTGCACTACAGAACAGCTTTACTCTTATGTTTGCAAACTGCTGAACACAAAGACATCTCATTATCACTCCGCTTATCTCACAGAGTAGGAAAAGCATGAAGTGTAATACAGGACTGAAGCACGTTGTTGTTTCAGCTAACAGAAAGACACTGACTGAAAGCAGCTTGGTGAAAACCTTGAGCTCATTCGTCAGTGTGCTCAGAGCGAAAGCTGAAGCTTGCTGATATTTAACAGGTGACAGTTTCACCATCTATGCAGGGGCAGGGGAGTGTCTGATAACCTCATCACACTCTGAGGCTCTGCTTACACCACGCCCGTCAGACTGTACTTCTATTTCTGTAATATATGCTGTATGAATATGAATGTTTTGCCTTTGAATGTCCTACCCGAGCAATATCTGGCTCAGAAGCAATGAAGCTACAGAATCGAGCCATGGCTTTTGGTCCGTCTAGCATCCCTTCATCCATGTTTATATCCAGGACCTGAGCTCCCATCTCCACCTGGGCCTTAGCGATGCTCAGAGCCTCCTTCACATTACACAGAAAAGCCAGTTGAGAATTAAAAACCTAACAATCACAATCAAACTTCTGAGAGTGAACAGCATTAATGTTAAAAACAACACGAATAAATCCAGGTAATATTATTAAATTAAACTACCTCATAGTTTCCAGCCATGATCAGCTTAGCAAATTTGCGTGACCCAGCCACATTGCAACGCTCGCCGATGTTTACAAAGTTGGTGTGTGGGCCAACGGTGAACGGTTCTAAACCTGCAAACAAAAGAATATGTTGTGTCCTGCATGAAGTTAAATCAACAAGCAGCCCTTTAGCACAGCAAGCTTACAACAACTGCTTCTGTTCTGTCAAAGGTTCGGCATGTTTATACTCAATGTTAGGATTTCTTTTAAAGTTTGAAACTTTGTCTCCTGCTAAAGAAACCAGGAGATGGAAATGAAAGCAGAACAGCTTTGATCAGAACTCCTGAATTTATAAACCGACTGACAATCTCAGTTTGGAATTTTAACTCCCAGAGTGCAACGAGTTTCAAAGTCTGACGTGCAAACACCGTTTCTACCGTGTGTGTCGTTCTGCAGCTTTACACATGGTAACGAGAGGTTTTACTACCAGAGAGCAGCAAGTAGTCTTGATAAATATCAGCAGCAGGAGCTCTCGGCACACAGTGTCTGACTGCTTCAGCTATGGCTCTGTATGGGAGGAGGGAAACAGAAAACTGGAGTGTTATATTTGAGGCAGACGTTTTATTATGAAAATGTTATACTGACCTTATGTGTGATGGAGTAGTTCCACAGCAGCCTCCCACAATATTCACAAGTCCATCCATGGCAAACTCCTGCAGACAGGACACAGTCGTATGACTGATTTATGCTTAAACCGGAAACCCATTTTAACCCAACACATTAACCTTCATTCATTGGTAGATCGCTGGCCCAATGTGTAGCTACAGGTTATGTGGAAGGTTACAGCACAGGGTTAAAACGGGTGTCTGGGTGTTACGGCTGTGGCCATAACAACACTGTGTGCGCTGTTTTGTTCTGTGTCTCTTTACTGTGCTTAAGACTCTTTGCAGGTCCCTCCCCTAATGAAGAGTAGTGAGCAGCTGATTGGACCGTGGAACACGTGACCGCGTTCAAAAAGCCGCTCTGACAGCTCCCGCAGGAGAGAGAGAGAGTGGAGCGAGCAGCTTGACAGCCGACGTGGTCCTGACCCTGGTTTCCAGCCTACACTGTTGCTGTGCGTTTGTGTGAGCGTGCTCAGTGAGAGCCGCTCCTGGTGCATTAACGTAGTGCTTAGGCTGAAGCGGAAGGGGTGAGCCGCCTTTTCCTTTGCAACGGTTTTCTCCTGTTTGCCGGGTTAGGCAGCGAGGGTTATTTGTTTGTTCTGTTTCGTTCTTAGGGCTTAGCTAGTTTTCTGGTGGGACTTATTATTTTGGCCTGGGTTCACCCTGGAGCTGTGCTTCATTACCTTCAATAAAATCACCTTTTACTCACAACTGGTTTTGGATGTTTGGGAACCAGGGCGGGGATTTGTCTCTCTCTCCTCTACACGCCTAGGCTAGGGGCGTTACGCTGGTTACGACAGACTTTCCACACAAGTCCAAACAAAGTCAGCACAACTCCTCAGCAACCCCAGACGGGTTTTGTCTTTTAATACTGTTTTCAGTCACACTGGACGGCAGCTGGCAGGCCTCCAGCTTAAGCTGACAGAAGCACCTGCATGGAAGCTGAGAAATGTAGTGCTGTCAATGAGGCCAGCTACAGGTGATCAACCTGGGATATCAGGATATCAGATTCAGGAGGAAATCAGGAGTTTCTCTTGTGAGAGTGTCCTAGGTTGACGTAGGGAAGGTTAACCAAGCATCTTTTTCCCAAGGTGGGAGAAGTCAGAGCTCCAAGAGGAAACCTGTGCGAGCACAGACAGATGATATTTAACAAACTCCACACAGACGGACCCCATCTGGGTTGGACCTCGGGACCCTCCAGCTCTGCGTCATCATTCTGCTCAGACGGTGTAAAGCTAATTGCTCTGACTCAGTCTAAGGGGACAAGTGGACCCTTCACTGCAGGGTCTAGGTTTTCTGTCCCTTCCTGTACTGCTTTACACCTAAATGTCACTCAGGAAAAAACAAAGAAAAAAATCTAACCTTTAAATTGGAGGCTGTTACTTGTGGAGTTTCATCGTACCCTCCAAATGTGTTGGGAAGGCCTAACAGAGAAAGATAACATGTAGATATGATGACATCACATCTTCCTGGAGGCTCTGAAAGATGTTGCAGCAGGAACTGCCTGGACTACATACACGATGAACCTGCTGTACAAAGCTGTGGTGTGTCATCAGAATCATCATGGCTTCAGCATGTGTGGTTTGTGTGTCCTCTGCTGTTTACACAGTGTCTTACCTGCATTGGGATAACAGATAATGAAAGCTGTGGTGCTTTTGCCTATGGCCTCAATGAATGGTCTCATCTCTTTTGCCCCCAAAGCACAGTTCAGACCAATACTGCACAAAGAAAGGAGGAAGGGTCTTACTGGGAAGCCATTTGTATCACATCACTGCTTTGTTCTACATTTAGAAGAGCAGCTGTTTGGTTTGATGTACAGTAACTCACCAGAGCGGTTCAGCATGCGATACGCTCACTACAAAGGCTTCTCCGGTCTGACCAGACAGAGTGCGTCCACTGCGGTCCACAATGGTCCCTGAGATCTGTATGAGTAAGAATTTAATAGAACTTATTAAGGCTGAACTGATTTCTTTAGAATCACTTTCAATACTTTTCAGCCAGTTCTAAAAACATCTTTGTTAAAACAGAGAAAGTTCTTTATGCTGCATTTATTAGGTCTTGTTATAATCCTTCTTATATTTAAGTGTTTAAGAAAAGTCGTGGGACTATCAGCCTTTCTTTTGACACATGTGCAGTAAATGCTGCCTGTGGTGACACGTGGGCAGGTGCTGGAAAGGTTAAAGTCTGTCAGCAAACAGGATGAAGTGTCCTACGATCTCCCGGCTGCACTGACACACAGTGTACCAACCACCACGGACACCAGCAGGTCACATGACACCCCAAATCATCAGCCTGTGGAAACGTCACACCGGGGACATTGTAGGACATAATAACGATACTTTTTGGTTAAATGTGTCTACAGTGTATTAAACTTTGGCTTATTTTTAAATAACTGATGCAAAACACCGGACTTCCTCAGTATTCTTATTTAGAAGACGCACCATTAATTAGTAGTGAACTGCAAGACATTTAGAGAAACACTCATTTTTAGCAAACTATGAGCAAAGTTTCTAGGATGTGAGATTGAAACTAGAATAGTCTGAAAATGAAGCCTTATGATGTGTGTTTGTCCACTCCTCGATCCATTCTAAGTGAGGTACACAGTGTTTAAAAGTCGTGCAGCGTGGAGAAGAATAAAGAACCAGACTTACAAAGACTGGCTTTCGTTCGTAGCTCTTTTCAAATAACAGGTCGATCGCAAACAAGGCAGCCTGCAGATACAATGATCAAGTAGAAAGAGTGTAAAAAAGACTTGCATGCAGTACAAAAGGGCACTCTACTGGTGGAATAAGTTGAAATTCTAGTACTAGTGCTTCATCTGTAATGAAGTGTTCATCAGTGGGTTACTCAGTGTTAATCCTTTAACCTTAACATTACCACTATGTAAACAGGATGAGGGGTACCTTTGCATTGGCAGTGTCAAAGATGGTTTCCACTAGAAGGATGTCCACTCCCCCGTCTAATAACCCTCGTACCTGCTCTGAATAGGCTTCTACTAGCTCGTCGAACGCTGCAGAAAACACACACACTTTATTCATTGCAGTTACATACTGTATGGTGCTTATTTGCACAATGACATCATTCAATCTGAGTGTACAGCCCAGAGTTACTTCACAAATCACACATATAATGAAGCATAAAACAGCGGTGCTGGAATTCCTGACATTCCTCTTCCCGATCCTGCTAATATGTCTGTGATCATTAATTGTAATGTAATCCAGGAGTCACGATATTATGCAAATAGTTGCAACATTAACTGCAGTTCATCAGCCAATCACGCATCTCTTCACACATGCAGCGACAAACCATCTCACCTATCTACCGTTTACATCGACAGTGTTTAAAAGCTAAAGCACAACGTTGGCTGAATAACCAGTGAGCAGTCTTACTGATGTTCCTGAAATCTGGTCTCTCCACACATGGTGAAACAGACAAGGTCTTATTGGTGGGACCCACTGCCCCAGCCACGTAGCGTTTATCCCCTGATAACAAACACAAAGGTGCTGATGAACTCTCTGACACCGCAGCATTGCACAAACACTGGTGACAGTAATGTGTGGCTGTACTGCTGACCGCATTGTTTAGCGACGTCGTCCGCTGCCCTCCTCGCCAGCTGTGCTGATGCTTTGTTGAGACGATAAGCCTACACAACACACACAGGTTTACACCTTAGAGCAACCCGTCATTACTTATTACTGAAATGATTATGTCTCATGTTTCAGTGGAAAAGGTCAGTGTAGTAATATACTTAAGATTAATTAAAATGTCTTTGTTACAGCACATACAATTGAGCTGAACAGTAAATAAATCAATATAATAAAAAAATACTGAAGACAAATATTTTACTGAGGTGAAACCTGACATTCACAAAAACGACTTCCTTCCATAAAAGGATAAATGACTCATAAACTCTAACATGGTTCCATGCAAGCCAAGCTGTGGTAAGTAGGGACATCGTACCATGTGTTCAAGTCCGTAGTCTGCCTGGGCGATGGACGTGCTGCTGAAAGTGTTGGTCTCTATGATATCAGCACCAGCCAGCAGGTACTCCTTTAAGCAGCCAAGATGAGGAGAGCAAAGCTTGCACATAAATACAATTACACACCTGCACAGTGCAGGCAAAGATTCCCATTTCGTTGACTGGATTAACCAACCTTGTGTATTTTGTAAATGATGTCCGGCTGTGTGATGCTGAGAATGTCATTGTTGCCTTTCAGCGGCAGTGTATGTGTTTTGAACTCCTCCCCCCTGAAATCTTCTTCTTCAAGCTTTTGCTGTTGGATCATAGTTCCCATTCCACCATCCAAGACCATGATCCTTTGCTGCAGCACTGCTCTCAGCTCGGACTCCAGTGGGCAACTGCATCCTGAGCAGAAAGTGGGATGCAGTTATAGAATGGCAAACTACATATTACACATAACAGGAGAAAGAAGGAGAAAAAAGTGATCCTGCAGGTGATAAATGTGAGACGGGTGGATTTTTATTCAGCATAACTTAAATATTCTTTGGATATTTTGGGGTTTTTATGCAGTACCACTACATGGTATATACACAAAGTGTACTTTTTTATTTAAAGACTGGGTGACAGATCAGGGTGGGGTCTGGGGCTTCTGTGCTTTATTTCCAGCTGTCTGATGATTTTGGTTTACATCAGTTTGTGATTGAAACGTTTTTCTTTGTATAAAAGAAAAAGGAAAAAAGAAAAACAGGCACGAGGCATTCTGCAAGTATTCAGGACTTTTCCCCTTTAATGTAAACACGCACTGACATGATTTGCATTTGGTTTTATACATAATAAAGTACATTATGGGGACATGTGAGCCACGTGCTTCACACCTGATTGTACAGCAGCAGAAGTACACGCTCTACCGCACACATGTGTGATACGAAACTTGCTGAACACGTGTTTCATGCAGTGGGTCCCTGTACAGTAGCTGCAGCACCAAGTTTAGCAAACAGATACCTGTTACCGCGGCCAACACTCCGCATATTTACCCGCTTCTGAGGAGAACGGCTGAAAGACGTTAGTGGGAGCCATGTTGTAAACAGCCTCACAGTCCGTCTGAGGAACACAATGAGCTTTTTCGAACTTATCCAGTCGACTCGCTCCTGTTTTGTCGAAGCTTCTTCGGTGATTCGAGGGTCGCCGCAGCACTTCCGGTCTCTTTATTTCAAAATAAAGGTTTCAAAAGGGAAAAGTAGCGTTTGGACACTGCTCAGAGCCAAGAGTTACAAAACTTTCCCTCTTACAATGTTCTAGGCTGACTCATTCCACGGACAGATATGAGATCAGTCCACCCTATCTGGCGACTTGCCCACCCAATAAAAACTAATGCAACGTGAAACTGACTTTTGTTCAGCCAATGCAAAAAGCAGCAGTAACCCGTCTACTTCTTATTGGGTGCGCCGCCCACAGCCCGCCTCGAAGTCCCGGGCTGCAAAATACAAAGTGTTCAAAGGAAGAAATAGGCATAGTTAGGTGAAACACGGCCACGCGTGTCGGCACAATGAACGGGTCTCGGGGCTCTAGCCCCGCCCACTATTACTACTGACGTGGCTCACAGCAGGGGTCTCGAACTCCTCCTCGAGGGCCGGTGTCCTGAAACTTTTCCACCTGACCCTGTTGCAACACACCTGAATACAGTTAGTAAGTCATTAGCAAGACTCTAGAACTTGAGTGCACGCTGAGGTTGCGCTTCAGCCATTTGATTCATGTTACAGCAGCTCATGAGTGAATGAACATGGTGCAATAAAAGTACTGTTAGAAGTACAGCGATCGACAGTTGGCAGTTCATCTTGTAATCGGAAGTTTGCCGAGCCTGTTCGAGCCCCGGCTCCGACAGTCTCTGTCGTTGTGTCCTTGGGCAAGACGCTTCACCCGTTAGCTGGTGGTGGTCAGAGGGCCCGGTGGCGCCAGTGTCCGGCAGCCTCGCCTCTGTCAGTGGGTGGCTGTGGCTGTGGCTACGATGTAGCTGCCATCACCAGTGTGTGGATGTGTGGATGACTGGGTGGATGAATGGATGTAGTGTAAAGTGCTTCGGGGTCCATAGGGACTAAGTAAAAGCGCTATACAAATACAGGCCATTTTACATTTTTCCAAACACTCACATTTACTTAATTTTACTTGAGTAGGTAGGGTTAGGGGTTGCCACGTCAGCATGCAGTCAAGTTCTATACTCTTGCTAATGACTTACTAATTGTATTCAGGTGTGTTGCAACAGGCTCACATGGAAAAGTTTCAGCCCTCGATGACTGGAGTTTGAGAATTCTGAGTTACACTAATTCATAGAATTTGTTAATGAGTGACTGAGGAGCACTCTGATATACTTTTAGTGCACCTAAATAAAATGTCTCCCCTATTTATCTCCTGCTGGCCCCTGCAATCTAAGACAGATAGTCTTTACACTTTTACAGACGTGTACATTTCTCACAGAGTGCTACAGGTGTCTGCTTGCATGCACAGCGTGTGTGAGTGAGAGCGCATTTTTTCTTTGTGAACTTTGTGTCCAGTTCATGGTCTCCTGCTGGCTATATTCATGTATGTTTAACTGTGAACTCAGAGCTAGGTCACAGTTCTGCAGCTTGTCAAACAACATCCTCTACAGTAAAGTATATATTTGTGAATAAGTGCAGATTATATGTTTCAGTTGTGTTGGTACAGGTGTGTCTCTGGAGTGTTCACATGTTTAATGGATCATTGCTTCTGTGTCTTGGTCAGAAAAGTTTTTATTCTGTTAAATCATAAAAGATAGATGGATGGACATTACTGTCACTTACAGTGTTAGTCTCGCCTAAGTAACCTACATATTACTTAGAACTGCAAAGAATGGATAATTCAGTGTGTGTGTGTGTGTGTGTGTGTGTGTGTGAAAATGTGCTTTTGTAACAACAGAGGGCAGTGAGGATGGGGGGAGTTGGAGGCTGCATGCCCCGCTGGAAGGCTTTAATTCGTTTCTGTTGTTCTTGTCAAATCAGAAAAAAGAAAATCAGGATCAAATTCAGACTTGCACACGCTCCACCTCAGCGTGACAGGAGCGAGCATCCCAGAGAAGTCTTCGCACATCAGCCGGTGGGTAAAATGACACTCTCTCTGACTCTGACAGTGTGGACCATCATATTCTGCTAGATAGGCTGAGACACGGGGTGGGTATATCAGGGTCTGCTTGGGAATTGTTCAAATCTTATTTGCGAGAACGATCCTTTTCTGTGGCTACCTCTAAGTACAGTCCCTCTTCTACTTTTCTTGCCTATGGTGTGCCACAAGGTTCAGGTTTGGGGCCTTTATTGTTTTTGTTGTATTTACTCCCAGTTAGATATCTCCTTTAAGCCCTAAGATGTTTCCATAATTAGAGATTTTGCATAGGTGCACAGATTCCATTACAGGTTGGATGCCTGATAATTTTGTTCAGCTAAATGAGGAGAAGACTGAAGTCCTTGTTTGTGCTTAGGGTGGCTCGATTATGGCAAAAACGATAATCATGATTATTTTCACTGAAATTGAGATCTTGATTATTTGACGATATTTATTTAACAATAACAATGTATTTGTTACGGGCCCCAGGAATGGTGCCACAATAACAAAGAAGAAATCCCTGCAAACACAGGTAAAGTTCAGGAGCAATGAAGACAGTGCACTCGGTTTGCCTCTCAGGCTCTGCATGGACAAGCACCAACATGTATCAGTGAACTTTTACATCCAGACATTCCCAGCAGGTCCCTGAGGTCATGTGTTCAGTGTTGCCAACTTAGCGACTTTGTCGCTATATTTAGCGAGTTTTCAGACCCCTTAGCGACTTTTTTTCTAAAGAAAGTCGCTAAAAAAAAGACGTGAAAGCGCGTATCGCTTTTACTCTCAACAAGCAGCGGGTGCTGTAACGCAGTCAGTTCTTCTTTTACTCTTATGCTGTTTTGTGGATCACAAGGTTTAAAACTACTTATAAACACACACAAAGTAACTCCACCAGAGCGCCAATTTCGGGTCACTTTTGCCGGTCCAAGCCCGGGTAAAGGAGCAGGGTTGGAACTGTGACATTAAAAAACAATAATTGCTAAAAGAAATTTAATTTGTAGTTCTAAATAAACTCTAAATGCATTTAGGACGTTTTTTACTCACTTTAAGTCTCTTCCACGATGTTATTTCTCTCTCCAACAACATAGGTGCAATTAGATTAGCATGACCAATTATGCAAATTAGGCGATGACGCCATTTAGCGACTTCTAGCGACTTTTAGGACAGCCAATAGCAATTTTCCTTACTGAGGCGTTGGCAGCACTGCCTGTGATCAGGGCTTGCTGGTTGTCCAGCACACGAGGCTGAAAGCCAAAGGCGACAGAGCGTTTGTAACTGTGGCCCCCAGACTGTGGAAGTCTCTCCTTTGAGCCTGAGATCTGTGGACTCACTTGGTCACTTTTAAAAAACTGCTAAAAACTCATCTTTTTAAACTTGCTTTTGGTAGATTTTTATGTTTTAGCTTCTATGAAGCACTTTGTGATTTTTAACTTGAAAGTTGCTGTATAAGTAAAATTTTACTTTACTTGCTTTACTCACGGTGCGGCCGCCGAGCTGGGACTTCTTCCCGATCCACCAATAAAGCCATTTAAAATAGAGGAGACCCTACCCTTTACCAATGAGAAAAAACACTGATCAATGAAGCCGTTTCAGAGGCTCTCGCTTTGACCAATCAGAGTGAAGGAGGCCTGGTTTAGTGTAAAGGTGTGTAAGTTCTCTAAAACTGCTTCTGTGAACACTTTTCTAAGTAAAAATATATGTAGAATATATATATTCAAATATGCCATGGAAGGTTTTCATTAAGCATTTCTGAGTATGTTATGTTTTTCTTACACCCTGCGTAATATTTCATAAAACTTTGTTCGTTTTGTGTGTAATCATTAATCTTTGATAAATAAAATATTTAATCTTGTATTTGTGTACTTTGTGATTATTGAATAAAAGATCAGTCACACATTGCACTGATTAACAGAGGTGGCTGTAAGAAATGTTTGATGGAAAAAGGAAACAAAGTGTTGTGCTGCTAAACTTTGAGCTTGTAAGTTACCAACGTTTAAATCAGGGCTCTCAATCTCCAGTCCTCGAGGGCCGGTGTCCGCAAACTTTTCCATGTGTCCCTGTTGCAACACACCTGTAGGTCATTAGCAAGAGTCTAGAACTTGACTGCATGCTGAGGTGGACCGGAGTTTGAGAGCTCTGGTATAGACACAGACTTTGTTGATCCCACACTGGGGAAATTCTCGTTACAGCAGCACTTCAATCAGAGATATATTAGAAAAATAAAGATAAATAAACAGCGCACAAATTTAAAATGAGCAAAAGCCTACACAATGGTAACTACTACTGATCTACAAAGGTTGTTATATACAGCAAATACACAGAGAGAATTTTAGCCTCTCAGTATGAAGCTGACTGGAGTTCCTGGTCAGTTCATGCAATAAATAGAAATGAAATTCCTTCCCTTTGATTCCCAAAGTATGACTCAATAACAGAGACTCTAAAACCAGAACAGAAGGATCCAGTTGGAAGTGTCATGGTCCTGGGTCGGTGACCCAGCGCTTTACGTTTACTATTAGCATTTTTAATTTATTATCATGATGATTATTATTGTTTGAGTTCTATGTGTTATATTTGGTCTGCCTCTGAGTCTGCGTCTGTCTGTCTGTGGTGTCCCCCCGTCTGTTTGTGAATCTGTCTGTTTAGTTCAATGTCTTGTCTGGTTCCATGTGTCTGAGTTTCCTGTTTTATTGTGAAGGTCTGTGTCGTATGTGAGTGTGCTCAGTTTACGTTTCCCCTGTCTCGTCAGCTGTGATTTCTCCCAGGTGTGTTCCCCTCCTGTCTCTCATCCCTTGATTACTGCCGTCTGTGTGTTTAAGCCCTGTGTTTCTCTGTGTCAGTGTCGCGTCGTACCCTCAACTTGCTGTGTTTGTAATGTCCTGTCCTCCAGCACCTCGGTTTAGAGTTTTGCTTTTGTAAGTTTTCATTCGTGAATCATTCCTCCAGCAATAAAGCTGCGTTTTCAGTTTATTCCCATCTCCAAGAGTCCTGCAATTTTGGGCCCACCACTTCTGCTTGCCTGCCACACAGCCAACCATGACAGGAAGATCAAAGATTAAGGATTGTGTTTTTATAGTTCGTAGTAAACCATCCCCTCCTCATGTGTGTACCTTAGAGGTTGAATTATACATTAGCCGTACTTCCAAAAACATTTAGAACTGAGATGGCAGCTGTTAGCAGAACTCTGATGCTCACCAGGAGCACGTATCCCCACTTTCAAAACCTTAAGGTGTCAAATCCACGAGCCCTACGTGGGGCCAGAAGTGCAAGTCCCCCTTTACTGACACACTGTAAATAGGTTTAATGCTCAACAACACAGCTAACAGCCTCATGCACTCCAAGATTTTTGAGGTTTAGGCCACAATAATAATAATTTCCACTTCACGTCTTCATGCTTCATAAGAAATGAAGTGTGTCACGTCTTTAGTTGTTATT